AAAAAAAAAAAAAAATGGAGATGCGGTGGACAGGCTCCCGGAAGTGGGTAATAATGGAGGTGGGTGTACGTACCACCTGGTCCTGGAAGGAAACACCAGAAAGTAGTGAGTGGCAGGTGGGTACGGGGCCGACAGCAGTGGTGAGGGGGCCCATTTCTCATCAAATGTTATTCTGTGCTGTTTTAATTACTTTTTGTCTGTTTTGAGATGGAGTCTCTCTCTCTTACCCAGGCTGGAGTGCAATGGCACAATCTTGGCTCACTGCAACCTCCGCCTCCCAGGTTCAAGAGATTCTCCTGCCTCAGCTTCCCGAGTAGCTGGGACCACAGGTGTCCATCACCATGCCCGGCTAACTTTTGTATTTTTAGTAGAGACGGGGTTTCACCATGTTGGCCAGGCTGGTCTCGAACTCCTGGGCTCATGTGATCCACCCGCTTCAGCCTCCCAAAGTGCTGGGATTACAGGCGTGAGCCACTGCGCCCGGCCAATTTTGTGCTGTTTTAATTGCGTTTTAAAAGCTACACGTGTTTTGCAATTCATTTCAAAAGGGCGAGGTTCCCCAGATCTTGAAATTGCCTTTCTAGTGGAAAAGCTTCAAACAGGCTCCGTAACTGGCCAGGCTACTCCCATGTTCTGTGGGCACCTGGGAGTCTAGTCAGGATTTAAGCCGACTTCCTGCCATGAGACCTGGAACCAGGCTTTCCGTGCAGGGCACAGGTGAGATTGTTTTGAGCCCTGTCAGGCTATCTTGGGGCCAACAACCTTGTTCTCTGGGGTTTCTTGGGACATAGTCCCAAGAGCAAGGACAAAGCATCAAACATCTTTGAGTCTTTTCTCTTTTTGTTTTTGAGACAGTCTCACTCTGTCGCCAGGCTGGAGTGCAGTGACACGATCTCGGCTCACTGCAACCTCCACTTCCGAGATTCAAGTGATTCTCCTGCCTCAGCCTCCCGAGTAGCTGGGATTACAAGCACCCCCAACCACGCCTGGCTAATTTTCGTATTTTTAGTGGAGATGGGGTTTCGCCATGCTGACCAGGCTGGTCCTGAACTCTTGACCTCAAGTGATCCACCTGCCTCAGCCTCCCAAAGTGCTGGGTTTACAGGTGTGAGCCACACACCTGGCCTAGTGCGTCCCCCAGTCCTCCCTGGGCCATGGCTCAGTGCCAGCCCCAGACCACTTCTTCCTGGTGCACCTCTGGGCCGGGGGGGCTTCCCAAAGGAAGGGACTTGTAGGTCTTGCAGGCTGGACAAGGACTATAGGAACCCAGGAGTAGCCAGGGCCCTCTTCCCCTTCCCCTCCCTCTTCCCCTTCCCCTTCCCCTCCCTCTTCCCCTTCCCC